GGTACCGTTGTTTCGGCGAGTTTTGGCGTGTGGGCGGTTGGCGTTGGGACCATTGTCTCGGCAGCGGTTCGCGTGGGGATGGTTTTTTCGGTGGTGGTTGGTGTGAGGACCGTTTTGTCGGCGACGGTTTTCTTGTTGGCAGTTGGCGTGGGGACCGTTGTCTCGGCGACGGTTGGCGTGGCGATGGTTTTCTCCGTGGCGGTTGGTGTGAGGACCGTTGTCTCGGTGACGGTTGGCGTGGTGGCGGTTGGCGTGGCGACGGTTGGTGTGGGGACCGTTGTCTCGGTGACGGTTCGCGTGGCGGCGATTGTTGTGGCGATGGTTGCTGTGGGGACGGTTGGTGTTGGGGACCGTTGTTTTGGGGAGGATTGTCTCGGGGATAATTTTTGTGGGGCTAGTTGGCCTGGGGGCAGTTGTCACGGCGACGGTTGGCGTGGATGCAGATGTCTACGCAACGGTTGGCATGCGGATGGTTGTCTTGGCAATGGTTGTTTCAGTGACAGTTGGTGTGGGGACGGTTGGCGTGGGGAACGGTTTTATCAGTGACGGTTATTGTGGAGACTGTTGTCTTGGTGACAGCGTTGGGTTTGTTGTGTTGTCAACGGTTGTCGTGGGGACGGTTGTCTCGGCGACGGTTGGTGTGGGGACGGTTGGCGTGGGGACCATTGGCGTTGGGATGTTGTTTTGGGGAGGGTTGTCTCGGGAGCGGTTGTGGGGGCGGTTGCATTGGTGACGGTTGTCGTGGGCACGGTTGTCTTGGCGACGGTCGGCATGGGGACCGTTTTCTCGGTGATGGTTGGCGTGGGGACCGTTGTCTCGGTGTTGGCTGGCGTGGGGACGGTTGGCATGGGGACCGTCGTCTCGGTGACCGTTGTCTTGGCGACTATTGGCGTGGGGACTGTTATCTCGGCGATGGTTGGTGTGAAGATGGTTGTGTTGGCAACGGTTTTCTCGGGGGTGGCTGGCGTGGGGATAGATGACGTGGGGACCGTTGGCATTGCGATGGTTCTCTTGGTCAATGTAGGCGTGGGGACGGTTGTCCCAGCGACAGTTGGCGTGGCGACCGTTATCTTGGCGGCGGTTGGCGTGGTGAACATTGGTGTGGGGACCGTTGTCTCGGCGGCGGTTGGTGTGGCGACAGTTGGTGTGGAGACTGTCTTTGTGACGGTTGGCGTGGGGACCTTTGTCTCGGTGACGGTTGGCGTGGGGATGGTTGTGTTGGTGACGGTTTACTCGGCGACGCTTGGCAGGTGGACTGTTGTCTCGGTGGCGGTTGGCGTGGGGATCATTGGCCTGGGTGACGGTTGGCGTGGGGGATGGTTGTTTCAGCGAAGGTTGGCGTGGGCATGGTTGACTTCGGGTCCGTTGTCTTGTCGATAGTTGGCTTGGTGACGGTTGGTGTGGCAACGGTTGTTATGGGAACCGTTGTCTTGGAGACGGTTGGTGTTGGTAACATTGTCTTGGCGACGGTTGGCGTGGGGAGGGTTCTCTCGGGTCCGTTTGGTGTTTAGACAGATGGCGTGGGGACAGTTGACACGTCGACGGTTGGTTTGGGGACAGTAGTCATGGCGACAGTTGGCGTAGGGAGGTTTGCCACAGTGACGGTTGACATGGGGATGGTTATCTTGCTGGTGTTTGTCTTTGCGACAGTTGTTTCAGTGGCGGTTGGGGTGGGCATGGTTGGCTTGGGGAGAGTTGTGTTAGCGACAGCTCGTGTCGGGATGGATGTCTCGGCAACGGTTGGCGTGGGGACCGCTGTCTTGGCGACGGTTGGCGGGGCGAGGGGCCGTTGTCTTGGCGACAATTGGGGTGGGGACGGTTGGCATGGGGGCCGTCGTCTTGGCGGCGGTTGGCATGGGGACCATTGTCTTGGCGCTTGTTGGCGTGGCGACGGTTGGCGTGGGGACCATTTTCTCAGTGACGGGTTCGCGTGGGGACCGTTGGCCTGGCGATGGTTGGCATGGGGGCAGTTGTCATGGCAACGGTTGGGGTGTCTAGGCACCTGTTGGTATGGGGATCGTTGTCTTGGTGGCAATTGTCTCAGAGACAGTTTGTGTGGGTGTGGATGGCGTGGGGACCGTTAGCCTGCTGGATGGTTTGCCTGGGGGATGGTTGTTTCAGCGACGGTTGGCGTCGGGACGGTTCGCGTGGGGCCCATTGTCTCGGTGGCGGTTGGCGTGGGGGTGGTT